TTTGTTACTGTAGGTCTTTTGATACCGAGGCTTAGTTCGAAGACAATTAGGCAAGCTGTTGGAGTTGTGGGTCGTGTGATAATGCCTCACAATGTCTTCTTGCATTCTGCTTTGGTACAGTCAAGGAAGATTGATCCTAAGAAGACATGCAAAGTTCGGGAGGCATTGAAATACTACAACATCGAATCATCAATTGCTCTTCTGGTGTCTTTCGTGATCAATCTGTTTGTCACGACTGTATTCGCCAAGGGATTCTATGGTACCAAACAGGCCAACAGCATAGGGCTGGTGAATGCCGGGCAGTATCTCGAAGAGAAGTATGGCGGGGGAGTTTTCCCGATTCTTTACATTTGGGGTATTGGGTTATTGGCGGCTGGACAGAGCAGTACAATAACTGGCACATATGCTGGCCAGTTTATAATGGGAGGCTTCCTTAACCTTCGTTTGAAGAAATGGCTAAGGGCGCTGATAACGCGAAGCTTTGCTATTGGACCTACCATAATAGTTGCCCTGGTGTTCAATAAATCAGAAGCCTCTTTAGATGTTTTGAATGAATGGTTGAATGTGCTTCAGTCGATGCAAATTCCATTTGCTCTTATCCCTCTTCTTACCTTGGTGGCTAAGGAGCAGGTCATGGGGGTCTTCAAAGTCGGCCCTGTTATAGAGGTAAGCTCCTCGCTTCAATGCTTGGCTGATCTATCACTTACATGTATAATTTATCTGATTGGAGCATAGTTTTAGCCATTTTGCTTTCTATAATAGAAAATGTGGAGTCCATTTTGCAAGTATATATATAATTCATTTTAGGGGTCATTTGTTAACCATATATTCTTTTTGTGACAAGGAGAATACATAGTTTCTGAAACTCCACTGTTTTTCTTGTCTGAATCTGGGATGAAAACGCCTGCATCTATTCTGATAACTTTGTGTTCTCCCAAACATTTCAACAATACATTCAATTGTGTTTCTTCCACTACTACAACCACTAGAAAACCAAACATTTCCACAATACACGACTATCGGATGTCCCCTAATTACTTGTTTTGGAAACTTGCAGAGGATGGCATGGGCGGTAGCTGTAGTGGTGATGTTGATCAATGGGTATCTCATGATCGATTTCTTTGTATCTGAAGTAAAGGGCTTGCTGTTCGGGCTTCTGGCATGCAGTGGAACAGTTGCATACTTGTCATTCATAATTTACCTTGCTTCACATGGTGGAGTTTTTGCCTCCAGGTCTCCCTCATATGGGGTAGAACTGTCAAAGCAGAATTCCATAGATGGGAATTAACTTCGCATCGATGATATGCTTCGCCGAAAGCTCTCTCTGTCCATACTAAACACACGCTGATGGAGATCGATTTTGAAAAACCCTACTAACCTCAGGTGCATATAAATAACAGGACAGTAACACCCAGATTGAGTTTTTTTATATCCCTCAGCGGTTGGCTATACGAAGCAAGAAGAGGTTGGAACAGCAGCTGCTGACATGTATGCAAATTTAGAACTGTGTTCATTGTTCTTTAATGTATGGGTGGCTTGTAGAATATGCAAACTCTCTTAACTGTAAAAATTTTGTGTTCAAGGACTGACATTTTTCAGCAGGAGCTGAAATGGGGTTTGGCGATATCTTTGTCGATCTGCAGAGTCACAGATGAACTGTTTTTATGAGTTTCTCTGAGTTATTTTGATGGTGAGCACTTCTGCTGGCAGGCATATTTGTGTACATAGAATTCAGTTCTCTTGAATGAATAGGCAGAACCAGGTGATTAAGCACAACTTATAATGTTTAAATATTGAATTTCTGAGATCACACTCGAACTCTTGGTTACCTGCTAATAAGGTTGAAATTTCACTCAAAATCTCAGAACTTTTGTATACTACAAGAATTGGGATTGAAATATTTTTATGCATGAAAGCAAGATAATTGTGATAGAGACTGAAAAGTTTTGAAAAAACCCCGAAAACTTTTATGGTTTTATGCATTGACAGGTTATGTAATTTTAGAGTGGTTTGGTTTTTTTATTTTTATTGTTTTAATGGGATTTTCACAATACTTGTATTTTTTAGAATGTATCATTTTTTTATGAAGATACAATACGTGTAATGTTTGTTTGATGTGATGTAAATAATTATTCAAAATGAATGATTCTACAATTTCAGGTTTTAGGCGAGTTTATTTTATATAAATGTGGTATTTATTTTATTATTACGTGATACTAAAGAAATGTGAATTTGTGACCTCCGTCTAAAAGATTTGATGTAATTTGATAGTTTGCAAAAAAAAAAACTACATCGCTTGAAGTCCGGCTACTTTGGATTGCAAGGGCAACAATCATTTTGTTGGTTGACTCATGTTCAAATTGAGAAAACAACACGATACTCAATTGAGTAAATCTTAGTATACATTAATATCTTCTAATAAACTCAATTGGCCAACATTGGTCATCAAAGTTAGACCTGGTTAGATGTTATTGTTCAGTTGGTTCTAGATTAGGAATGACAATGGGGCAGGTCCGGGCGCGGGTGTCTCGATACCCATACTTGTCCCATGGCAGGTCGGGTAATTTATCACGGGGCACGGGTCGGGGCAGGCCGACCCAATGGGTATGTAATTTATGTGAAAACATTAGAAATATTCGTTCTTTTCATTGAAAGAGCAAGAAAGAAACCATAATATGATAAAATGTAGTTAAATTATTGAAGAAATTGAGGTTTTCACTTATTTACAACTTTATTATAGCTAAAATATAATGTAATAAGAGGAAAATCTTATGTAATTTGACTAAGATTATATGTAGTTTAGGCAATAACGGGTCGAGAATGGGGCGGGTCAGGACAGGTCGGGTCGATGAGAGATACCCATGCCCACCCCGCCTATGGGGCGGGTCACCCGCCCCAAAACAGGTCAAACAAGTCGGGAAATAACGATACTTCAATAATCCATTATAACACACGGATATCCTAACAACAAAATGAAAGTTTGAGAATTTGGTCCAAGTTACCAGATCATATAAATAAACCTACGTTTTAGATTGTTTTAGATTAAATGCTCATTCATTGACTCACGTCCAAAATTAGAATACTTACTCAATACATCAACGCGTTAAGGTCCTTGCAGGAGAATAAAGGAGAAATCAGTTATGGTTCAACATATCCTTTTCTATATTTCATGACTCATGTACAACGATCAGCTAAGGGGATGAATCATCCAAGAAACTTACATACATTTGTCGAGTAGCTGTGAATCAAGAAGAATAATGGAAGGCGGTGCAATTGGGTTTAAGTAAAAACTGAAAAGAAAGTGAAAGATAAGTCATTCAACGGAAAAACATTATCCATTAAATTGTATAGTATCAACGACAGTATTGAAGACTAAGTCGATAGGGCGTCTTTTAACGGTACTAACGATTAAACTACAGTTAAATCACGGTCTTGCAACTTATCAATATATATTTTATAAAATGAAATACTCTTAAAGTTAGCGCATGTCTGGTGTATAATGATGTACTTTGACGAGTAGGAATGATCGGTTATTATTTTTTATTTTGAGCCGAAGCTTTGTTGAGAATTTTAGCCATCTGACTACGTCAAACATCAGTCTTCTAAGTTCTAATATAATACTATTTTGAATTTGATTATATCTCGTTTATTTCAACTTTAATTTAAAAAGTTTAGTATTGGGCTAATTAGGCCCTGCTGTAGTTTTTTCAGAAGCAGCTTCTGGTTGGAGCTTTTTGTGAGGTACTTAAAAAAAAAGCAGTTGAGTGTTTAGTTGAAAAACTAGTAAAAGTGATTTTTAAAATAAGAGGTTATGTAAAATTACTATAAATGATTTATAATATAAAATATAAATAAAATTTATAATTAATAAAAATGAGTCAAAATGAATCTTGTTAGATATTTTTTATATTAAATATTATTATTTTATTTTTTGAAAAATGTAAATGAAAGAAAATTATATTTTCTGCAATAATATTAAAATATGGTACGATAATCTTGTATTTTCTAAATAACTTTTCGCAGAAGCTCAAAATAGGAGTTCTGCTTTCATATTATACAAAACACTTTTAAGCTTTTCAAAAGTCGAGTTTTTAGAGATATTTGGCCCTGCTTAAACTTTTGAAGACGAAAATCACTTCTAAAAATCAGGCCAAACATAGACATTGTTTTCACTTTACTCGTTATATTGGCATTGAATTAGTTTTTGCATTGGTACTGCTTTTCGGGTAATACTATTGGTTTAATGTTTCTGGTACTAGTTCAGGGGTACTTATATTGTTTTCATTTTACTCGTTGTATTGGTTTTTTTATTAGAATTATAATGGTATTGGTTTTTTTAGAGCGACATTTTTTTTTTCTTTTCTTAGAATTATAATGATATTGTTTTTTTAAGTGGTCGGAGGAAGGCAGTCGAAAAAATGTGGCCGGAGGAAGTCTGTCAGGGAAAGACAAAGAGTCGACTGGAGAAGCAGAAATGAAAGAGAGACTTAGGAAAGGTAAAGAGTTGAACTGTTGGCTTTGCATCATCTCCCGATTTCGACATTTGTTTATTAGATTTTTCAAATTAACTTAGTAACTCTCATTTATCTCCTTGGAAATAAAACATTCAATCCACAATTTGATAATTTTTTGCAATTAATTGTGGGTGACCTTTGAAAAGCCAAAATGGAAATGTAGAACACATGGAAATGTAGGGGATGGAAGAGGAAGGAAGAGCTCTCAGCTTTTCTTTCTTCTTCCTTCTCCAACAATCTCCGCGTAAAAGCAACACAACAACATCAAAACCCAAACAGAAACCAAAAAAGGCCCATAAAAAAAGCCCAATCAAAATCAAATCTTTCCTCTTTTTCTCCCTCTCTCTCTCTGCCTCTTTCTCTCTCTAGCCTCCACGAAAAATGTTACCAAAAATTACATGCAAAATGCTTTTATAGCTCTCTCTCTCTCTCTTCTTCTCTGACTTCCCCTCTCCCTCTCCCTCTCCCACACTTCAGTCAAGCTTTCCTTTCCCTCTGCGATCTCTGCCTTTCTCCTTTCCTTCCTTCCTTCTCGTTTCTCAGTTACCTTTTCTGTTCCAAACTCCTTCTCCACATTAGAGAGATGGAGAGTCCCATTCCCATTTAGTCTCCTTCCTCCGATTTTCTCTCTATGAAGTCATAACTTCCTCTCCTTATTCTTCTCCCTCGCTATAAATCCTAATTAAAACCCCTTTCTCTTCTTAATCCCCACGCTCACCGCCTCCCTTGCTCTCCCCCAACAAACCCTTTTGCCTCCCGTTTCTTTTTTGCCTCTCCGTCGACGTACAGCGGCGCTATGTTCACCGGCGCTGATGGGTTCTACCCTGCTTCCGCCTCCGTCGGCTCTAACGGCGGAGCAAACCACTCTTTCTCCGCATCCGGCAACAGTCTTCGCCACCTCGATCAAGGCGGCTATACCCTTCCGCTCGCCGGCGGCTACGCCTTCGGCGATCACGTTCAGAACCCGTACAATCAGGAGTCGCTCGAATCGCTGTTCTCGTCGCTCAGCGTTTCCGGCGGCCGCAACGGCCGCGGCTTGAATGGGTTTGCCCTGGATGACAATCTAGGCGGTGGCGGCGGAGTTGGAGGGGGGTTTGTTGCCGGCGATGGCGTCAATTTTAATAATCATCTGGCTTCTTCCAACGGCGGCTGGCTTCAAAATTGCGGCGGGTACGACGCCGACGATCAAGGGTGTGCTCGCCTTTTCAATCCACCCGCCGCCGCAAGGCAGAATTTCCAGAGCAATGCCGCTGCTGTCAACCCCGCCGTGCTGCGCTCCCTCGAGTTTCGTGATTATCTGCGTAGCCAGATTTTATATGGGTCATCGGAACCCGGATTCTGGGACGGCGCCGTTTACCCCGCCGCCGCCGCCGCCTATTCCAATCCATATTACAACGACTCAATCACGGGCCTCAACGGGGTCTCTTCCCGTTTCGATTCCTCCTCCGCAAGAACCCTACCCAAGAGGAATTCGAGTTCTAGTTTCAACAACAAGAGGCCTAATCATCACAATAATCATCATCATAATCAGGGCTCCTCTAACGTCGGATTGAACAGCAGCAGTAGCAGCAGGAGGTCCGATTTGCTGCAGGAACAGTCGAACCACACGTCTCTGGAGAATTTCAGGGGCCAGATTCTGTCACTGGCTCAGGACCAACACGGATGTCGGTTCCTGCAGAGGATAATCGGGACCAAAAAGTCTGAAGAAATCGAGATTGTGTTTCTGGAGCTGGTGGACCATGTGGGTCAGCTGATGCTTGACCAGTTTGGGAATTATGTTGTACAGAAGCTCGTAGAGGTTTGCACTGATGAACAGAGGACCCAAATCCTGCGGAGATTGACTAGAAACGAATTCCAGCTCCTCAGCATTTGTCTTAACATGTATGGGTACGTTGAAGAGAGCTGCTTTACTGTTCATACTTCATTGTGCTTAATGGGTTATCGTAAAAAAGCTTCTTTGCTTTGTTTTGAGGATTCGTTATTATATTATTTTGTAATGACTTTAGGATTAGTCAATAGTAGTCTGCAGCAAGTAGTTTGTTTGTTTATTTATTCTGTTTGTTTGTCTGTTTCTGGTTTTTGGTGGTGGGGTTTGAAGGACTCGTGCTATACAGAAGCTGTTGGACCATGTTACAGTTCCGCAGCAAGTCTCTGTAATTATGCCTGCTCTTAGCCGTGGTGCTGTTGCTTTGACCAAGGACATGAATGGTCATCATGTCATCCAGCATTGCTTGAAGAGTTTCTCTCATGAGGACAACAAGGTGAAATGACAAAGGAAAATGAGGATTGGTAATTCTTATGATTGCTTGATTTACTGATTTAAGGTTTTGGTTTCAATGTGGCAGTACCTTCTGAATGAGGTGGCAGACAACTGCTTAGAGATTGCTACAGATAAAAGCGGCTGTTGTGTGCTCCAGGTCTGTGTGGAATACTCTCAGGGAGAGACCAGGGATCGCCTTGTGTCCGAGATCATTTCGAATGCACTGCACTTGTCACAGGACTGCTATGGGTATTGGTTTTTTATTGAACATGTTTTTGACGGTTGATCATCGGTTATCCAGTCCGTGATATTCCTCGATATAAGTCCTGAATCATTGTTGTTTTCTTGAATAGCAACTATGTAGTACAGAACATAGTGGGACTTAAGGTAGAGAAAATCAATGCGGCTCTTCTTCAACAGCTTCAAGGTGACTTTGTCAATCTCTCATGCAACAAGTATGGCAGCAATGTGGTGGAGAAGTGTATGTCTGAGACCACAGAAGAGCAATCTACACAAGTTATGATGGAGATGCTTGGTAGTCCCAAGGCTTCTGTGATGCTCGTCGATCCGTATGGAAATTTTGTTGTCCAGACTGCATTGGAGATTACTCAGGTGAGAACCTCCACTAGAGAGCTTCTCAGTAATTCATTTCCTGCAAAGTTTCGGTTTTTTAAATATCACTGGACTACCAAGTTTGGTTGCGGTCAGTATTGTATTTGACTCTATGTACTACCATGTGAGACATTAAAACTGTTTTGCCTGCTGTTAGACGCACTTTTAGATGCACAGGAAATCCCATTTAGTTGTTCATTCTGATTTTTGCTTACCGTTGTTTTAACATGCTTCTAATTGATGGTGTTTACTTCGATCTTTTTTCAGGCGAGGCGCCAGACACTAGTCCATTCCGCACTAGTGGAGCTGGTTAGGAGGAACGTTCCAATGATGCGAAGCAACATTTATGGAAAGAAGGTGCTTGCTTGGTTCGGTAAGAGACAATGGCTACACATGTAGCTTACCAAATACACAAGGAGGAGATGGAAGAGACAGGGAGGGAGGGGGGTTGTTTGATTTGCTTTGATGGGAAAATTTGTCTGCAGCTTGTAGGTGTCATAAAAATTGTTGTGTTGTTTTGTTCTCCTGTGGGTTCTGTTCTGTTGTTAAGAGTTTTTCAGCATCTCTGTATGTTTAGCTGTGTAGTGATTTTGATTTTGTCTGTCAGAAGATCATATAGGTAGAGGGCTGCAAATGGTAAGGAGGGGGTGGTGATGAAGAGATTGATAAAAAGGGTTGTCATAGTTCTCTGCAACTCTATTAGGAAGAAGAAAGTAACCTTTTGAACTAAAATGTACGATTGGAGAAACCAAAGGTGGGGGATTCTTTTTTGGCAAACTGTACAGCTTCTTTTGTGATAATTGCACTGTTTGTTTTGCCTTATTTTCTCATGGAAACATACAAACAGGAGTCTCTGATGGTGGTCTATCTTTCAGGGAATAAATGGTTCTGTTTGTTGAGATTTCTCTAAAGAATGTTGGTCTACACTGTCCTTCTTATCAACCCTTTTTATGCCCATATTATCATGTGGCCATATGCTTGTGTAATTGTGTTGATTTTGATGAAGGAGTAAATGCAAAGCGGGTGATGAAGATGAACCCTGCAATGCTATTGTACTTGAAAGAAACTATTTGTTTTGCTGAGCTCTAAAAGGCAAAGCAAAAGTCTACAAGGGTGATGTTAATGAAGGGCTTGTTTGGATGATTGATAAGCTGAATTGGAGATTGAATGTGTCCTGAAACTTGTGTTTTTATTTATTTATTTATTTGAATGGTTCATGAAAACCATTAAGTCATGGGTCTTGTTGGAAGGAACCCCAACGAACAAGCCTCTATCAAGGTTGGTGATGGAAATCGCAACGATATCAGTATCCTGGTATCAAATATTGAAATTTCGAATACCAGATAGTGACCTAAATTCAATTTCAATTCCAATCCCAAAATAAGTTTCATATATCAATTCCCAATCTCTAATATTTTGTTCTCTATCGGTTGTACCAAATACCAAATTAAATCCCTTCAAATTACCAATCAAGTATATTAAAGCAAATACTTGAGTAGTTCGCAAAACATTCTCAAAATATATAAAAACAAACAATGGTGCGAAACAAATTATAAAAAACCAATTATAATAACAACAACTAGAGAAATGTGCATGCGAAGCACATTAACAAATTAAAGAAACAAATTGAAACATGGGGAATCTAATCAGCCATAAACATTGGTTGGGTTGTGAGGAACGAGTTATGTATAACTAAGTGGGCATTTTGGCGATTGTGGGTCTCATAGAAGTAAGCGAGGAAGTCTATTTGGGAGGAATAAAATATGCATTAACTTATATTTCAACATTCATCGGTATTTCGGTATATTCCGGTCCCTATCATGAAATATCTAATACCAAATATGAAATAACACTTGAAATTCAATCTTAATATTAATCCTATGAAATAGTATATTTGTAAATACCAAATATAATCTTTTTATATATATTCCAAATACCAATACTAAACTTTCAACCATAAGGAATGTAGCACTCTTAGTGACACAAGTGAAATTCGATACTTCTTTGCTTGAACAATGCTACAACAATAGAGTGTGCTACTGCAAAACTAACTTATAATATAACATTTCGACCCCTGTCATGTGAGAACAGCTCCTTCCAAGGAGAAAATGCATAACCCCTTGAACAATATCATTCATCAAGGGGTGGTGGCGCAGTTGGTTAGCGCGTAGGTCTCATAGCAATACTGAGTGATCCTGAGGTCGAGAGTTCGAGCCTCTCTCACCCCATTTTTTTTTTCCACTCACGTTTTCAGACTCTGCGTTGACTCGATTCCTCTACCTCGAAGTAACTACGCGTCCGTTCCCCATTGGCCATCGCTTCACCGTTATCAACCATTTTTAACCGATACAAAATTCCGAAACTTGCAACCTAACCGGGGGCGGCACCCAACCACTTCAAACCATTTCTCACTTTCTGTCCCTCTCTCTACCGCCGGAGACGACGGAGCTAAAACACATTCTATCCTCCGCCGTCTCAAAACACCCTCGCCAGTTTGACTGGGACTTCCTCCGCCGCGGCGCCTGATGGCTCATCCATGGCCGATCCTGGCCGTTTTCGTCCTCATCATGCTCGATTTCCACGGCGTCGATCCCGCGGCCACCGATCTCGATACTCCCCGGATGCCGATGATAATCCCGCTCCACCTCTCCGCCCCTAACGTATCCTCTCATCGGAGATCCTTCAACGACGATTTCAACCGCCGGCATCTGCAGAATTCGGACCTTCCAAATGCTCGAATGCGCCTCTATGACGATCTCCTCACTAACGGGTTAGTGCTAGACTCTTTCTCGCAACTTTCCGATCGAATCACTCCCGCCTGATTCTTGTTCTGGACTCTGCCTCTCTTCTGCAGTTACTACACGACTCGGCTGTTTATCGGATCACCACCGCAGGAATTCGCCCTTATTGTGGATACCGGCAGCACCGTGACTTATGTTCCCTGCTCGAGCTGCGAACAGTGCGGCAAGCACCAGGTTTGTTCTTATTCCCACTCTTCCTTGGCTGTTGTAGACAGTTTTAATGCGAGGGATACGAGATAGATATCGAACAAATTTTGCAAGAGAAGTCAATTTGGGATGGATTCTGGGGATCATTTTTTCTTTGCTCAATTGGAATCAAATTAGGTTGAATGGTTGATAGCAACATTTTTTTTGCCACTCTAGGATCCAAGGTTCCAACCAGAGTTGTCAAACACATATCAAGCTTTGAAGTGCAACCCTAGTTGTAATTGTGATGACGATGGGAAGCAGTGCACTTATGAGAGGCGATATGCCGAGCAGAGTTCCAGCAGCGGTGTGCTTGCTGAAGATGTCATTTCCTTCGGCAATGAAAGCAAGCTCGCACCACAGAGGGCTGTGTTTGGTTGTGAAAATGTGGAAACTGGCGATTTGTACAGCCAGAGGGCAGATGGGATTATAGGTTTGGGTCGTGGTCGGCTTAGCATCGTGGATCAACTTGTTGACAAGAGCGTCATAAGTGACTCGTTTTCTTTATGCTATGGTGGGATGGATGTTGGTGGTGGTGCGATGGTACTTGGTGGGATCTCTCCTCCATCTGATATGGTTTTTACGCATTCTGATCCCTATCGTAGGTAAGATGCTTTCTTAAGACTCACGGAAGCATTTGATTTTTTCATTGATTAGGATTTTAGTGCGTCTCACACATTTACTGTAGTTAAATCCATGGCAACAGTCCATATTACAATATTGAGCTGAAGGGTCTGCGAGTAGCTGGGAAGCCATTGAAGATAAATCCTAAAGTTTTTGATGGACGGCATGGAACAGTTCTGGACAGTGGAACTACATATGCTTACCTTCCAGAAGAAGCATTCGTTGCACTTAAAGATTCTGTAAGGAATCTGAAGTTCAGCTCAGCTCTTTATGTATTTAGTCATATTATGCCGTTCATCTTTATGTCCTTTAAGCTGTACCATCCATGATCATGTCTTTTGTGGTTATAATTTGGTACTAATAGTTGCTTGAATATCTTTTTTTGTTTCTTTGCACACTAGGCTATAGTACTGGTATTATGCTTTTTCTTCATAGCCATGTAGTCAACCACAAACTGTTTATATTCCTTGGTTTTGTACGTTATGCAGCTAAGTTAATTTCAGTGGTTTGTTTCTACGGTGGTTCTAGGTTCCATGTCTCCTGGTTAGAGTTTATGCTGTATTAGTTAGTTCCATATAGTTGTTAGTTTTGAAACTTTTACTTTCAGACTGGTCTTTCAAATTGACAGAATGTATTGAACAGTTTGCATATCAATTATCAGGAATTTTAACTTTTTGCTGTTGATGAGTTATCAACTTATCACTACTGATTCCTGCAGAAGTTGCATGCATATCTGCTTGTGCTGAACATGTACCCATTAAACCTTGGCGTTTGAGATAAATTTCTTCAGATATGAGGCCTGTTTTAAACGAAAGATTGTTATATGCTCCATAGTTTTCAATTGCTCAAGGATTTGCCTGGTCTTTCTGATTCAGCTACAAGTAGGAACATTCTAAACCGCTATGTTCTCATTTCCTACTGCGGTGTCGAAAAATGCAGATAATGAAGGAAATTAGTGTTCTCAGACAGATCCATGGCCCTGATCCAAACTACAATGACATATGTTTTGCTGGGGCTGGAAGGTATGGCCTATTACCTGCAATAATATTGTTCCCGATGTCTTTCATCTTTCTGTCCATTAGTTGAGAGTTGGGGATTACTCCTGATGTTGAGCTTTTGTTTTGGTTGAAATTTTATCTAGGGAGATCTCTGAATTATCAAAGATTTTTCCAACAGTGGACATGGTGTTCAGCAATGGTCAATCATTGACATTATCTCCAGAGAATTACCTCTTCCGGGTAAGACTTAAGCAACTTCCACACGATCTTATGACCCCTTTTTTGTTGCTTTAATTATTACCTCTTCCGGATAAGACTTAGGCGACTTCCACACGATCTTATGGACCCCTTTTTTGTTGATTTAATTTGATTGGTTCTACCTCGCTAGTTCTCCTCTATCACCACTGAGTTTGTTTCACAACTTTCACTTATGCAGCACACAAAAGTCAGTGGTGCATATTGCTTTGGGATTTTCCAGAATGGAAAGGATCCAACTACTCTCTTAGGAGGTAGTAAACACAAATTCACTCATTGTGTCTATCCTCTTGAGTCTTGAGCCTTCAAATCCTGGAAGGATGTGGTAAATGACAACTCTCTTCTTTTGCTTTTCTTTCACAGGAATTGTAGTTCGCAATACGCTTGTAACATACGACCGGGAAAATGATAAGATTGGATTTTGGAAGACTAATTGCTCTGAGCTATGGAAGAGACTGCAAGTTCCTGGAGCTCCTGCCCCAGCACCTAACAGTTTGCATATGAATAATACTAGTAACGGGAGTCAAAATGTGCCTCCTGTTCAGCCACCCAATGGGCTACCTACAAAGCACATTCCAGGTAGATTAACTTTTCGGGGCTATTACCAGGGTATTTTATTGAATTTTCTTTAATGCAATCTGTTAGTCTGCGTAATGTTTTTTAATTTGGCTAAAATATGTTGGAGTTTGTCTGAGAATTTTACATCCGGATCTATAATGTTTAGGTGAAGTGAGAATTGCAATTATCACATTTGATATGCTAATTGTGGTCAATGACACCTCCACAAAGCCCAACCTCACAGAAGTGGCTGATGTCATTGCTCATGAGTTGGAAGTGGACAACTTGCAGGTATCATCCTACCATCTATCTTGCCCTCTTTGGTTTTTAAGTTCCTATGAACTATGTTCATCAGGTAGCGCTATTCTTTCTTCTTTTGGAAGTCATTCGTTTTACTTGTGACTGAGAATCTCGTGGCCCGAATCTATGCAACATAACTGTCGTAGTAGTGTAACTGAATATTACCGAGACAATTCGTGAATTCTCAGGTGCAAATGTTGAATGCCACACTACGAGGAAAGGAGTACCAGGTGAAGTGGGCCTTGTATCCTGCTGCATCAGCAGAGTACATCTCTAATAGCACAGCAATGGTAATCCATAATAACAAGACAATTTGTGCAGAACTCAATGTATGATATTTATTGAAGCTAATTTCTCTGGTTTGTGGTTTGCTTAGAGCATCCTTCTCCGGCTGAAGGAGCATCGCTTGCCATTTCCTAAGAGATATGGGAGCTATCAGCTGGTTGAGTGGAAAGTCGAACCTCAAAGAAAGCTGTATGTCACATTCACATCCCTCTTCCTCCTCCCCCACCTCTAAATTTCATCGCCCCTACCAATACTAAAATGGGCAATCTGGTGATCTTGAATCAGGTCCTGGTGGCAACAGCATCTCGTGGCGGTGGCCATCGGGATATTGGTCACCGTGGTTATCGGTTTATCGAGCCTTGGTGTATGGTTGGTGTGGAGACGTAGGCAACAAACCTTGGGTACATATGAACCAGTAGGTGGGATTGTTCCTGAGCAAGAGCTTCAGCCATTATGATGACTTCCGACGGATTCTACCCGTGACCACAGTTCTTGTAGTACCATAGGGAAAAAGAGAAGCCGGAACTTTCTCAGTCCGGTAATTACAGACATTCGAAGGATGGTGCCCTTTTCCACAAGCTGTTTGTATACCATAATAGGAAACATTCACCATTGAGTTTGCTTTGCATAGGGATTTTGGTTGGACTGATAAATTTCATTAACTGGAGCTGCCTTCTTTTTTATAATGATTGTATGACTGTGAAATCGTACCGGAAGTTATACTGGAAAAGTTAGTGATATTGTATTTTGTATGAAAATTGTGGTTGAATCATCTCGTACCGCTAATTCCGAAATACCGTTTGGTGTACGATGTTCGGGATTTTAACATTGCTTTGGTACTTCGAGGTAATTGGAATTAGTAGGGTTGTATGGAGAATTTGTGTTTCCTTGTCGTCATCTATTATCTGGTTATTGATGCGAGATGTTACTGGTCGGAAGGTCGACATTGACTTTATCGTATAATTTGTCACCAAATTTTTTGTAAAATCGTACTTGATATTGTACTGAATAAGTCTGTTATAAAGTATTTTGTTTTTATATCATGGTTTAACTGTCTTATACCGGTAATAACCCTATATCCATTTTGACTCCAACAAGCGATTTTTTCAGTAGGACCAGGGCAAATTTAAGAGTTGAAGTAGTAAAAGAGAGAAGTAGTGAGGGGACCAGGGCAAAGTACGAATAGTCCATACACGAAAATGCTCTGCTCTCTGGCATTTGCATCATCGTACACAGGAAAAGTCTCAACTCCCACATGATTTGTTGCAGTTGTTGTTGGACAATAATATAACATCCAACCAACCAATGCAGTCAAAATCGCGCTTTAAAACTTAAAAACTTACGATTTTATGCTATTAGGCCACCAAAACGCTTTCGTTTCCATATAAAAACTTAAGTGTATAAAATCGGACTAAATTGCGCTTTAAAGCTTAAAAGCTTACGCTTTTACGCTTTTAGTTCACCAAAACGTTTTACGTTTTTATGCTTTTAGTTGACTAAATGAGTATTCCCTTCATGAAATGAATTATAAAAAGTATATTTAAAAGTAAATCACCAACAATATGATACATTTTAGATTAAAAGACACATACCAGGTACTTGGATGCATTCTCAACTTCAATAGAGTAATCTAATTCACCAGCTAGGCTCTTCCAAATTCATTAGCATAGAGGAAAAATTTGTTTATTGTTAAAATTTATGTTTACGAACTTATTATTAAGATGTTATAAGTTGCTCTACTTTAGACATGAATTGCATGTATTTTTTAACTTATCTAAATTCTGTGCATTCATATTTTACATAGTATATGTCCTACTTAATAGATTTTTAGTAATTTTTCAGTATGCGTCAAAAACTTACGGTTTTACGCTTTGATTCTACGCTTTACGATTTTATCCCTTTTCCGCTTCTAGGTAGAATCGCGCTTTTGACTGCATTGCAACCAACCAACCCTCTTTAATGCAACTCCATTTCCCCTTCAATGAAACAAGTAGCCATGTCCACAAAAAGCTAGTAGCCATATTGAGAAATAATAACAGTCATAGTCGATTAATATACCCATATATTAAAACGTTGTCAATTCTTTAATGGAGGAGGATTGACCGGTGAAAGGTACAATATTGGATCTTTTATTTTCAGTAAAACGAAGAGCTATGAACATGTACTTTATGTTTTGGAAATGTAAATGATGATTTATTGACTCTTAATAGTTAATACTCTTCTTTCATCTAATAAATTCGTATATTTGACTCAAAATCTCAATACCCTTGCATCAAAACTGCAAAACTGCTAGACGAGCATTTCTTATACTTCCGTTTGAATTCGATCTTCATGAGAAACACCTTTCTCATCATCACCGTTATGTTTATCCTTATGTCTAGATCTAATCCATACCCAAATTGCCATATAGCTAATTACTTATATTCATAAAACAGGGAAAGTATGCTTATGTAGTAAGCAACACACAAATCAACTAAAACACACACAAGAAAAAGAAGAAGAATGAACCCAAAATATCAACAAACAAACAAACAGTCAAACACCCAAAATCCCCCAAAACATACTCATATCGTACCATAACCAGGTTTTTACTTTTTACATAAAACAGAGTAACTAATCACACATGACAAATTTTTTTAAGGGCACTTGGGCTTGCCCTTGGAGTTCTTCAAATCCCTGTAACAAGGGCACTCGTGCTTGTTGCCGTAAGTCCCAGAAGGCACGCACTGGCACTTGTCGCAGCAGATCCCGCAGTATTTGAGGCACCTGTCCATCACCCCTGCTTTCGCGCACCTCGCCCCGCACTTGGAGTCACAAATCCCTGTTCATTTCGCAACCCCGTTCATTAATTTCCAGAACCAGAGAAGTGGTGGCAAAAATGGCAATTTGTAGTAGCTAATTGATTAGTACCTGAGCCGGCGGCAACTGTGACATCGAAAACAGAGGAGGCGAGGAGAAGGCAGAGCAGCAGAAGCGTTGAGGCTGTAACGGACTTCATTGTGAGGGGAATGGAAGGGAATTTGGGTTTGTGGCTTTCTGGGTTTTGCTAGGAGGAGAAGAAGAGAAGGAAGGAAAGGAGTGAATGTGGAGAAGAGAGAATGGTTGTTTGTATTTATAGGCCGTCGACGGGGGCTAAAAGGCCATAATTTGAAGGGTAGGTGAAAGGGACTCAGGAGGAAAGTGGCCGCTGCTTGAAGGGAAAGGGATGGACCGAACCGACCACATTGCCTTACAGTCTGTCTTCTGTTTTTTTTTTTATTTTTTTTTTATGGTTCTCTCCTGGGGTTTTCCATGATCATCATGATGGAAACTCTGTTTCTTCCTTTTCTTTTTCTTTTGAAGAGGTTTCAATTTGAAGACTACAAGCACTCTCTATCGTCCTGATTAATCTAGATTTTGGTAGAGTACGCGGTGAAATACATTTGTGAAAGTTTATGTTAAGCCATTTCTGTATTTGGGATTTTGTTGTGATTATTGTTTGTTTTCATTTCGAGATAGTTTGACAGGGTTAGTTTAATTGTTAACGTGGGATTTGTAAAGTCAGGTATCTCATTAATTTGTTCATTTGGTATTCAATGTTATTTAAGTGGTAGTTGAGTTAAAATATCTTGTTTAGCTAACCATTTACATTTGAATAGCATGTGGTATTTGACAATAATAGATGGTTTAAAACAAGTTATTTTCAAAAAATATGGGTATAAATTATTTCAAATAAATCATTACCTAGTTAATTTATCTCAATAAAGTGTTGCCAAACAATTACTTCTGGCTTGGGCAAAAATAACTCACCTAAAAACCGCATCCAAAAGACCTATTATAGTATTTGTCCTCTTATATAGAGAGATGATTATCAAATAAATAAGTTGAACGATCTAAACTTATTTTCCGTAATCTTCACATTTTGCTTCTAAGCCATCTTCATGAGAAACAGAAATTCATTTGTTAACCATACTATTCAAATGTGAGTATTTTTCGCATAATTTGTGTTTTTCATGGCAAGCATAAATTTTCACCTTTACACAAAACTTTCTTAGAATATGGGCCTAAAATTCTACAACTACATTACAAACGAGGAGATAGAAATGTGAAGGTTTTACCAAAAATCGAGCTCAACACTCAGCAACGTTTGCTTCCACTTGATAGTTGATATCGCTAGAAATCTTTATCGTCGCTACATTCATGTATAGTTTAAGGATTGGCCATAATAGCTTTAGCTATTCCAGAATATTAATTGTCATGAGCAGTGGCGGTCTGGCGGAGCAGAGAATCGAAACTAATTGTTTTTTTTTCTTTCTTTCTTCGGAATATGAATTACTCCGATTAAAAATTTCATTTTTAGTATAATAAATCAATGTTATGGTAACCAAATGACAAGAAACGAGCCTCAATACAATTACAAAATGTTCTTGTTGGGCATATGACTCGGACCGCGCGACACAACCGGCGGCGCAAAGACCTTGTGCGCGGCAAGGGTAAAGCTACGCGCGCGAGTGTGAAGACCAGGCGATAACCAGACCTAGGGGCCGCAAAGGGCGTCATAGCCGCAGAGGGCGTCATTGCGTTTCCCGAGGGAAGGTCACGTCAAGACTTTAGGTACAATCATAGACAACCCTCTGACAAGTCCTAGGTTGAGGGATGGCCTAAATCCCTGACACATCAGTAGTCACGTCGTTGTACCGTCTCGTAGTCCACCCACTCACCCACCAACATGTAGCCTATAAATATGGCATTTACTCCGGTGGGTGAGGGAGATCGCATTTTTCTGGCCACTCTCTCTCTATAGTAACGGCTTCTCTCTCTAAACTCCTATTCTGTTTCTCTCTCGACTCCTGATCCTTGATCCTCCGATTAAACCCCACACTTGTGTTTCTTCTTGACCCAAACTCTCACTCGAGTCTCACTCCTACACTCAGTTAGGTTCAAACAATTGGCGCCCACCGTGGGGCCAAGAAGAAGCACAGAAGAAAATCCACCAATGGCAGAACGCAACCACGATCAACCTGACGAAGCAACGCCCATCAAGGCGATGACCGACCCAAGGGCGTTCGCAGAAGCCAGCAACCTCAATGCGGTGCTTATTGAAGAAGAAGAGCCCGAACTGACAGCCAAAGAAATGAGGGAGCTGGTGACAAAGCAAAACAACGTCATAGCTGACATGCAGAAGCAAATGAGCCAAGTCATCGCGCTCATGATGAGCAAGGAGGCCGCGCCAACAGCAGAGGCAACGGCGGTCGCGCCTCAACAAGCCGTGGGAGAAGCGTCCGGAACCGCCCAACCACCACAACACGCGCCAGCGGAATTCCCCGCGGGAGAAACGCAAGGAATTGAACCACCAGGGCGGGCGGACCTCAGCTTCTTGGAGCAACACCTGTCTCCGCAATACCGACCTAACCCGCCCAAGAGGGTTCTCCACCAGCCGTTGAGCGCACAAATTATGGCGGAGCACCTAAGCGGAGCGCCACCCACCCTCCCAACATACAATGGCACGACCGACCCAGAAGACCACGTGAGCACCTTCTGCTTGCGTATGCAACTCCAAACCAACTCCAACGCGGCGCTGTGCAGAACCTTCCCGTCAACATTTTCCGGAATATGCCTCGACTGGTACAATAGACTCCCGAACGGAATCATCCGCTCATTCGAAGAGTTCATACTCCTGTTCACAACAAAGTTCGCGTCCCAGAAGAGGCGTCCTCTGCACCTCAAGGCGTTGATAGATATCAGGCAGAAGGAGGGTGAGAGCCTGCGAGCTTTCTACGCTCGGTGGTCCAGGGTGGCAATGACCGTCCGCGACCTTACCCCCGAAACCGCCGCTCATCACCTCATGGAGGCCACTTGCAACATGGAGCTCAAGCGGGCGCTAGCGAAAAGGCCTGTGACCCTATCCACGGAATTGGAAATGAAAATCGAGAAGGCAATCACGTTGGAAGAGACTCTCGGGGCGGGATCGGTCAGGCGCTTCGAACCGGCAAAGTTGCAGCGCGAAGAACAGGGGCGTCGGCAACCTCCAGCCCCGATCCCACGAGACCAGTTAATACAGCTGCACAGTGGCCCAAAAATACACCCCCCCCCCCGCAAGAGCAAGCTCAGCGCCGGCGATCGCCAGATAGACGAGCGTCCAACACCTACACGCCACTTAACGACTCCGTGAGAAACGTATTCCACGTTCTCCGCGAGAAGGGCTACAAACTCAATTGGCCCGCTCCGTTGAAGTCCCGACCTCACATGCGCGATCCAAACAAGCACTGTGACTTCCACAGAGCAACAGGCCACTGGACGGAGGACTGCCGCGAACTACGATACGAAATTGAGGGCCTCATAAATCGAGGATTGTTAACCGAATTCACTCACGTCAAGGAAGAACAAGTCGAAGGCCCCCAGAACCCGCCACCTCCACCACAGACCAACTACAACGATGACGCCGGCGGCGCGTACACAGTACGCAAAGAAATAGGGGTGGTAACGGTAGAAGGAGACCGCCCCAAGGAGAAAACCAAACGAGAGCGCGCAACGGAATGCGCGACTGTAGACGCGCGGACGAAGTTCAACCTGAGCTTCGACGATGCGGAGTTCCCACGAGGAGTCCCATCAGAAGACCCACTCACCATCACCGCGCTGGTTGCCGGATGCAAAATCCACCGTCTGCTGATAGACGGAGGAAGCGCAGCTGACATCCTCTTCCAAAGCACCATTGACAAAATGGACATCGACCCGTGCTTAATCAAGCGCGCGCCGGGCAATCTGGTCGGGTTCTCTGGAACGAGGGTCCCAGTAATTGGAGTAGTCACCCTCCCAGTAGTAATCGGAGACCAAGAGCCGCGCATCTCCAAGCAAGTGGAATTCACGATCGTCAACTGTAAGTCGGCGCACAACGGCATCCTTGGCCGACCGTTCCTGGCGAAATTCATGGCCCTCCCATCAACGTGCCACCAAAAGCTCAAATTCCCCACCCAAACAGGGGTCGGAGAGGCGCGAGGGACGACATGGGCAGAGCGCGACGAGGTGCGCCAGACCAACATCGTCGACACAAGAGCAGAGGAGCCTCGCCCAGAGTCCATGGATTCCGACTTCGAAGTCGCGTTGGATCCCGCCGAGCCGACTAGGAAGATACGCATCTCTACTCACGTCAGCAGTGACGCGATCGAACCGCTCGTAGCCTTGCTGAAGGAATACAAGGAGCTATTCGCTTGGTGCACAGAAGACATGCCAGGAGTGCCCAGAGAAATAGCCCAGCATTGCCTCGCGGTCCCAATCAACGCGGAACCAAGGCAACAAGGGCGAAGGATATTCATTGGCGACAAACTGAAGGCCATAGAGGAGGAGGTAGCGCGCCTACTAGCGGCAGGATTGATCCGCCCCGTGAAATATCCAAAGTGGCTGGCAAACGTAGTCTTGGTTAAAAAATCATCGGGGGCCTGGCGGATGTGCGTCGACTACACCACGATCAATAAAGTGTGCCCGGGAGACCCTTACCCCCTGTCGCGCATCGACCAACTGATCGACGCAACCGCCGACCACGAGACGTTATCCTTCCTCGACATGTTCTCAGGATACCACCAAATCCCAATGTCCATCGAAGACGAAGAGAGGACGGCGTTCATGACACCGTTCGGAAACTTTTGCTTCATCGGGATGCCATTCGGGCTGAAGAACGCAGGCGCGACGTACCAAAGAATGATTGATGCGGTGTTCTCCCGGCAGATCGGGCGAAATATCGAGGCATGTGTGGATGACCTTATCGTCAAAACAAAAGCGGGCAACTCACACCTGGAAGACCTGCGCGAGACATTCGAAGCCCTCCGCCAGTACAACCTCCGCCTCAACCCAATCAAGTGCGTTTTCGGAGCCGAAGCAGGGAAATTCCTTGGATTCATGATAACGAAGCGCGGCATAGAAGTTGACCCAAAGCAAATCTCCGCAGTCCAACAACTTCGAGCGCCGAGGAACGCATTGGAAATCCAATCTCTGAACGGCAAAATAGCGGCACTGGGAAGGTTCATTCCAAGATCGGCCGACAAGTGTGCTCCCTTCTTCAAGACGCTCAAGAATGGGGCGCGTTTCACATGGTCCCCGGAATGCGAAGCGGCATTCCAAGAACTCAAGGCATATCTTGTATCCCCCCCTGTACTGACTGCCCCCAAGCTTAATGAAAAACTCTTCTTGTATCTTGCTGTGTCAACAAGGGCTGTGAGCGCGGTACTGATATCCAGAAGGGATGGTAAAACCGAGCAACCGGTATATTACACCTCGCGCACCCTTGTAAGCGCTGAGACAAGATACTCCTCGATCGAGAAAGCTGCCTTGGCGCTAGTAAGCGTGTCACAGAAACTGCGCCCATATTTCCAAGCGCACCAAATCACCGTCCTGACAAACCTTCC